ATTACAGGCACTGCGCTTGGCCTACATGCCCTGTTATATCCAAGTAAGAAACACACCTAACAGAAATCCACAGGTCACAATACAGAAGCTGTTAACTTTAACAACTCAGTCCTTCATGGTGAGTGTCTCAGCCATATTTAAGAAAAGCATTCTCTGCCCTGGGATCAGGAATATTGTCTTCTAAGTTATTTCCTAAAAGCTCTGCAATTTTGCCTTCTGCCTTTAAATTTTGAATCCACCCAGAATTGGGGTATAAAATGGCATGAAGTAGGGGTCTGACTCTACTTTATTTCACTGGTCTTGATGCTTGGCCAACATCATGTACTATAAGGCCTATCTGTTCCCACTCTGTCATCTCTGCAGGCTCTGTGTTGTTCTCTGGACTCATCTTACTGTAGACAATAGTCTCTATAGTCCTGATATCTGATATTTCTATTTCTTTCTTTTTTTTTTTTTTTTTAAGACAGACTCTTGCTCTGTCACCCAGGCTGGAGTGCAGTGGTGTGATCTTGGCTCACTGTGACCTCTGGCTCCCAAGTTTGAGCGATTCTCCTGCCTCAGCCTCCTGAGTAACCAAGATTACAGACACGTGCCACCACACTCAGCTAATTTTATATTTTTTAGTAGAGGCAGGGTTTTACCATGTTGGTCAGGCTGGTCTCAAACTCCTGAACTCAAGTGATCTGCCCACTTCGGCCTCCCAAAGTGCTGGGATTACAGGTGTGAGCCACTGTGCCCAGCCTTGATATCTGTTTGAGCAAGCTTTCACACTTTGTGCTTCTTTCACAAGAATGTCTTGACTCTTTCTAGCTATTTAGAATTAACCTATCAAGCTTTACAAAAAAACAAAAACAAAACAGGGCTTGCTGGACTTCGAGTGGGATTATACTGACTACATTAATTTGGGAGAAGCTGACACCTTGACATACTGACTACGTCAATCCATGAACATTGTACATCTGCTCCTTTATTCTGATACCTTCACTCTCCATCCCCACAAGACCACCTGGTCTGAAGCCAAAGTTAGCTGCAATCACCTCTTTGGGATCCCCCTTTCCTTTGTCATCTTTTCAAAACCTCCAGGGAGAAATTAAAACATATGGTATCTATCATTTGGGGCTGTTTTCAGTGGGAGGGGCTCAATAAAACCATCTTGCTGCATTCCTGAGGAGAGATGTCCCCTCTCAAGAGAGGATACAGGCCTCAGAGGTACAGCAGTGCCTATCGGTTCTGCCCACACACATCCTGGAAGGGGCCAGCTGCACTTTGGCCACATGAAGGGGCTCTGGAGGCTCCTGTGGCAGCCAAAGCTGCTATAAACTCACCCCTTGGGGCTGTGCGTCTGCTCCAGCAAGATCTGCACCACACGGACACCCCTTGGCTCCTAATGACCTCTGGCCAAAGCTCTCCTGGGAGAGGCCCCGGGACTCAGCTAGCGCTGGTTGACATGCCCAGGGCCTGTGGTCCCCACTGAAAAGGCTGAGGCTCTGGGGGCAGAGGAAGGCCGAGTCCTGCTCACATGCCCTGTGGAGTCTGCCTGGACACACTCTCCTTGAGCTCACTCTCTCAGCCTGGGACCAGCTGCCTGCCCCCGCTTCAATTCCTCTCCACAGTCAAGGAGAACATGTCCAAAAGTCCCACAGTGTCATGAGGAAGAGCTTAAAGATGAGGTGTCCCTAGCACTTTGGGAGGCCGAGGCGGGTGGATCACGAGGTCAAGAGATCGAGACCATCCTGGTTAACACGGTGAAACCCTGTCTCTACTAAAAATACAAAAAATTAGCTGGGCATGGTGGTGCGTGCCTCAGCTACTCAGGAGGCTGAGGCAGGAGAATTGCCTGAACCCAGGAGGCGGAGGTTGCGGTGAGCCGAGATCGCGCCATTGCACTCCAGCCTGGGTAACAAGAGCGAAACTCTGTCTCAAAAAAAAAAAAAAAAAAAAAAAAAAAAAGAGGTGTCTGTGCTGAAGGCCAGCCTGCCTCGGTGGGTCCTCACCCGGTCCTATGCCGTGGCCTCTGGACTGAGTCTCAGCTCCCGAAACGCTTCCTGCTCCCATGTCCCAGCCCTGGATATGGGATCCAGCTGGGGCCTTGCTGTCCTTCCCTCCGGAACCCTAGTCCTGGGCCTTGGGAGTTCCTGGCCCACCAGAAGGGACCCTGGGCCGTCACCACGTGCCCGGCCCGTTGGGCCACCTGCATTCTGCAAGGATTCCCCCAGCCCTGCTGACGCCTGGACACAGCCATCAGGGTGAACCCATCTCCACTGCCAGGCTCACCAGACGGAAGGGGCTTGGTCTGGGTTGGGGACCAAGAGGCAGGAGAAAGCCCAGAGATTGTCACCACTCACCCTGGGTGGGTCATCACCTGCCCCAGAACTCAGGGGCTGGCCTTCTGGCCCGGGCTCTCTGCACTTAGCACCTGTGCCAAACTCTATCCTGCAAGGGGGGACTGTGGTGTTTGAGGAAAGTGAGCAGCTCTGTGGTCAGAACTTCCCTCCAATTCTGGGTGTCCCTGGGGGCCTCCTCCTCATTCCCTCCACCCCCTGGCCTCTGCTCCCTAGCTGAATGGAGGCCATCGAGGCTCTGAGAACCCTTTCAGCCTCTTCCTGGGCCCAGGGCAGGCAGCGAGGAGGCCGAGGGAGCCGGCCTGGTGTGTGCTGAGTCAGCGAAGGCCAAGTCTCACCCACTCCACAGCCAGCGTGGCCGAGGGGAGGGCCCTGGGGGAGCCTCGGTCTCCTGAGAGGCAGAGCCCGCTGCGGCCCCACTGCTCAGCCTGCCGTTCCCCCCACATCTGCGCAAGTCCAGGAACTATAAGGGAAAAGATTAACATGACGGCCTTAAAAAATAAAATGCTACGTGAGACAAAATCACTAGCAACGTGAAGAAACAAATGCTAAAGCGGGGAAGGCTGCACAGCGTTTCGCAGAGTTACGGTCGGCGAGTGCAACAGCCGCAAACGCGGGAAGAAGGAGGCCGCAGTCCCACGGGAAACAGGGCGGAGACGCGAACGCCCCCGGGACCGGCTGTGCGCCACCTCCTAGAAAGAGAGACGTTAACCGCAGCTGCCAGACACAGCGCTGGCGGGGAGAGGACGGCCGGCCCAGGGGGATGGCGACCTGGAAGGGGGACGGGGTACCGGGAAGGGAGACGGAAGAGGGAGGGGTAGAGGAAGGGGGGTGGGATATGGTAGGGGAGGCGGGTGTGTCTTTGCTCAGGAGTCGCACGCCAGGGATCCTTTCCGCAGAAGGACCGAGGCCATCAGCCATACCGAGAGTGCCCGAGACGTCCATGGGAAGGGTCACACCACGGGCCGGGCGGCAGCAGAAAGGGAGGGTCCTGTGGCCGCATGGAGGGATCTCCGCTTTTACGTGCACACATGTGGTGTTTACCTGCATCAAATACACACCACGCCAAGGAAGGCCACGCGCAGAGGAAACAGTCAGCCCCAGGGAGGAGAGCAGACGGGGGCGGCGCGCAGGCGAGGACAGCGTGGTCTCCGTGAATTCAGCTTGTGTTTTGACTCTGGACCATAAAAACTTTTATGTAACATGGAACAAAATCCCAGGGCTTTGAATTTAGACAGGGTCTCGCTGTCGCCCAGGCTGGAGGGCAGTGTCCGCCTCAGCCTCCCAAGTAGCTGAGGTTATAGGCACATGCTACTAGGCCCAGCTGATTTTTGTATTTTTAGTAGAGATGGGGTTTCACCACGTGGGCTGGGCTGGTCTGGAACTCCTGACCTCATCTGATCCGCCCGCCTCAGCCTCTCAGAGTGCTGAGATTCCTGGCGGGAGCCACCACGGCCAGCCGGTTTTGCTCTTTTAACGGTAAGTGCACGTTGGGTGGTTCTGAGTGCTGGATCTCTACGCAGCCTGGACGGACATGACCTTTCAGAAAGAACCACATGAATGATTTGGTCCTTGGAAGGTGCCTGGACCACACCGGTACAGATCAAACCCAAAGCCCGTGGCAGGCGAATGTGGTATGGCTTCCTGGTACTCTGAGGGTCTCTGGTTGCCAGCACTTGGGCTTCTTCCTAGATCCACCTTTTCAACAAGGGAACCACCTTCCCAATGTCCTGGCATGACAGGGGCCCCATTCTCCAGCTCAGCCCCGTCTCCTGGCTGCTGAAGTGCCGGTGCCAGGCCTGCCAGCTGCAAAGGCCCAGGATACCCAGGATGTGGGCACCCTGTGTTCACTCGGCAAGTGCTGCTGGAGCCTCGCACGTGGGCACCAGGCCATGTTCTGGAGAGACAGCCCCGGGGCCCTGGTCTTCTGGTATCACTGGCATTCCGTGTCACCCACTCCCTATCCCCACCGCCAGGCCCTCCCGCTCTCCCGTGAGCCCAGCTCTGCACTGAAGCACTGTGGTTCCCAGCATCCCTGTTCTGTGGCAGGTGTGGGCCCTCCCCACTCTCCCCAGCTCCTGCACTGAAGCACTGTATTTCCCTGGCAACCCTGGTGTTCTATGGCAGGGATGCCCCGGCAGGCATGGTTGGCACAGGGGTCAGGCAGCAGAGGGGGAGCAGCCACCCCTGCATCCGTGGACACTGAAGGATGCGTGTGCCTGGGTGAGGGAGCCTGGAGTTCCAGAGTGCCTTTCACACATAAGGATGTTCTGCTCCCTGCACGTGACCCAGACATCACTGGGGCTCAGACTCCTGAGTCGGGGGTGCCACCGTTCCCAGTGGGCTCTCTTAGAACAGGGTTGTGTTCCAAATTCGCTCCCAGAAGGAAATGGCCTGGAAATGAAAAGCCACAAACAGAACCACCCAGCAGGGAGAGGGTGCTGGGCCTGAACAGCAGACCCACGGCCTGAACAGCAGACCCAGCAGGCCCCTGGGCCTCCCTCCTCTCCTTCAGTCTGGGAGGCAAAGCTCAGGCTTGATCTGAAGGTCACAGTCACTGCTCCGAGTTGCTAACACGTGAACGCCCCGATTCCGATTCCTCACTCCTGTGTATTGTGAATTAAGTTAAAAAATACTCGGGAACAAACATGGTAAACCTTCCCTTAAAGGACTTTATTTCTCTATTTTTATATGGATCATTTATTAAATTAGAAGACTAAAAAGTAAAAATATATTTTACAATGAAAGAAAAATCTGGACAACGGACCCCAATAAAATAATCGGAAGCTCACGTTCTGAGACCCCTCCCTCGGGCACCCTGCAGGGCAGCATCTGCAGGGGGAAGGAGAGGCAGGAGCTTCAGAGCAGCATCTGCAGGGGGGAGGGAGGGCGGAAGCATCAGGGCAGCATCTGCAGGGGAGAGGGGAGGCGGGAGCTTCAGGGCAGCATCTGCAGGGGGGAGGGGAGGCGGGAGCTTCAGGGCAGCATCTGCAGGGGGGAGGGGAGGCGGGAGCCTCCGGGCAGCATCTGCAGGGGGGAGGGAAGGAGGGTGTGTCCCAGCAGCATCTGCAGGTTGCTGGGGAGAGGGAGGGGAGGCAGGAGCGTCTGGGCAGCATCTGTAGAGGGGAGGATAGGCAGGAGCGTCCAGTGATTCCAGGTGCCCTCGCCACACACGCAGTCCCCGACAAGCCTGAGGCCCCAGGCCACACAGGTCCAGAACACCTGGGCTCTGACGCCACCCACCGGCATCTGCCCAGCAGAGGAAAACACAGCCGCGCCATGCCACGGGGGCCCCGCCCTGGGCTCAGAGATGGCCCGGTCAGGCCGTCCTCAGTGACTGCTGCCACAGAGCTGGCCAACGGCCTGCATCTTCAGCCCTCAGGCACCAGGGGCCTCAGCCCAGCTCCCAAACCCACTGCGGCCTCCCCTCTGAGCCAGCGAACAAGCCTGTCCTGAGTGCTACTACCTCATCCACACCGGACACGGGAGGGGGCGGGGGGATGTGAAACGGCTGATTCTGGGGACCCTCAAAGGGATCAGCAAGCAGCTTCGTGCAGTAAGACTTCAGACAGGAAATGAAGCATCAAGTGAAAGAAAGAACAATCTTATTTAATTAAAGGCCTTATAAAATGTGACTTATCTATTAAAAAAATAAAGTGTTCATGAAAAAGAAAACTAAGCGATGGTGGCCGGCGTGGCGTCATGGGCGAAGGTGCTGCTCCCTCCAGTGAGGCCGGCCCCCGGGGCTCCACACGGGCTGCTCCAGGAGCCGGCAGCAGGGGCCACGCCCTCGTCAGCAGACAGCCACAGAACCACACGTGCAAGCGTGTGGCAGTCTCACTGCACCCCAGCAATGCGGAGGCAGAAACCCACGCTTGTGGCCACACCTGGGCACCAGGTCGCCGACACCCCAGCACAGTGAGGCCTCCCAGCGTGGCCTGTGGCCCGTGGCCCGTGGCCCGTCCCAGGTTAGAGTCGCTAATATCACGGAACACAGCATCTGAAACGTTCCAGTCCTGCCTGACACCTTCATTCCCAATGGAGAAGAAATCTACACAGGCACAGGACCAGGCCATCTGAGACAGAGTCCCAGGGCCTCCGTCTGAGTGGCCGGCCTCTGCTGCCACCGGCCCTCCCCACAGCCACCACACACTTCTACAGGTTTACAAAAATAAATATTTATGAACAATATATTTAACAAAATCCACCAACAGGTGGCAGAAAGCAGTTATTTTCCAGCTGACACTAAAACTTAACTTCTTTTTTAGAGGGAGAAAAAGACTAAAATGAAAGCACTCACTTCGCCCGCCTGATCTTCCACGGAAGGCCCGCTGTGAGCATTCTCTGTCCTATCAGAGGACGCATGTCCAAAGGCTGGGAGCAGACACGAGCCTCGAACCCCACGGGCACGCAGCTGTGCACACAGGAGTCTCGCCGGCATGCGGGTCAAAGTGCGCCACGTTTGATAAGCTTTGGGATTTCTGATTTTCATCTTCTAGCTGTCCTGTGAGCCAAGATGCTGCACAGAGCCCAGGCAGGCGGGTACCCCTCCTAACTCAGAAAGCCTTCCAGTGCCACGTTCGCCAGGCCTCCCTCGCCACACTGAACCAAGGCCATCGTCAGCAGTCAGCTGGCAGTGCCACCACACCCTCTCAGAAACACGCACAGTGCTGCCTCTATCACCTCCCGCCCCACCCTTGGAAGGCCTGTTGAAAAGAGGCCCCCCGTGGCCGGCGTGAGCGCGGCAGGAGACGGACAGCAGCCTCTGGTGGGCGAAGGGCCCCGCTTCAAATGCCTGCCGGGTGGCAATCACACAGCACCCAGGTGACCATGCCAGGCTCCCTTCCTCAGGCCAGGTGGGGGTTCATCTTGCCTTCAGGTTGCAGTCTGTCACAGGCTGGCTGGACAGTGGCCAGGTCAGCAAGGTCAGAGGCCTTCCACAGGAAGAAGCGGCTCCACTCACCAGACCCAAGCCCTGGGCAGGGGCCAGGCTCACAGCAAAGCACGTCAGGGCAAGGGCTTGAGTTTTTGACCGGGAAGTTCTAAAAAACACCCACAAATCAGTATGAGGGATTGTGTATGCCTTAAATGAACAGCTCTATTCCAACTGTCACGTAACAAAATGCCATGAATCGAATCAGACAGGCAGGCGCCCGGCGACCTCCAGCACCCAACACCCTGGCAGAAGCAGCTGCTCTCAACAGCAAGACCATTTTCCAGAACAGTAGAGAAGGGGAGACGCAAGTCCCGGGGACAGGAGCGTGCCGAGACCCCCCAACACGAGACGAGAGGGGAGCCCCGCCCAGTCCTGGGCCGCCGGGAACCGACAATCCACATGCATCCCCAGAACAGGTGTGGACGGGGTGGCACAGACGTGGCTGTGGCGGGGCGACACAGGTGCTCTTTCACGGAAATCTTGATGGGACAGCATTCCTTGGGGGAAACCGGGCTGGCAACAGAGCTGGGCAACAGGCAGCAAGGCGGGGGCTCTACGGCTCCTCCCCCATCTGCAGCAGGGAGTTGATGGCGGCGTCCTTGTTCCCTCGCTGGGCTTCCAGCACAGAGCGGATGACCTCCTGCTCCACGTTGGGGAACACGTCCTGGATGGCTCTGAGGTCCTCCTCGCTACAGCGGGGCTGGGTGTTCACAGCGGCTGGGGGCAGGGCCACGGGCACCATGCCGGGGCTGCAGACAGCAGGCATCCCTGGAAGCAATCATCACGTTTGGTGAAAACATCGGAAGGTTACAGACGTGCCACGCTAGCTCCTGCTGCAGGAAGAAACAACACATCCCCCACCTCAGATCTCAGCAAACACCAGTCCTGCAAGACAGCCTTGAAACCCACACCCTCCAACACCAACCCTCCGACACAAACACCACCGACACCCACACCGTCCAACACCAACCCGACACCCACATCCAACCCACTGACACCCGCACCGTCCGACGCCGACCCACCGACACCCGCACGTCCGACGCCGACCCACCGACACCCACAGCCTCCAACACCAACCCGACACCCACATCCAACCCACCAACACCCGCACCGTCCAACGCCGACCCACCGACACCCGCACCCTCCGACGCCGACCCACCGACACCCACACCCTCCAACACCAACCCGACACCCACATCCAACCCACCGACACCCGCACCCTCCGACGCCGACCCACCGACACCTGCACCCTCCGACGCCGACCCACCGACACCTGCACCCTCCGACGCCGACCCACCGACACCCGCACCGTCTGACGCCGACCCACCGACACCCACACCCTCCAACACCAACCCGACACCCACATCCAACCCACCGACACCCGCACCGTCCGACGCCAACCCACCGACACCTGCACCGTCTGACGCCGACCCACCGACACCCACACCCTCCAACACCAACCCGACACCCACATCCAACCCACCGACACCTGCACCCTCCAACGCCGACCCACCGACACCCGCACCGTCTGACGCCGACCCACCGACACCCGCACCCTCCGGCGCCGACCCACTGACACCCGTACCCTCCGACGCCGACCCACCGACACCCGCACTGTCCGACGCCGACCCACCGACACCCGCAGCGTCCGACGCCGACCCACCGACACCCACACCCTCCAAAACCGACTCCAGGTACAGCTATGGGAAGGAGGGTTTGGGGTCTCTGTGACAACTCCTTGATGAACTCATCTCCCTTTCATATAAATATGAAAGTTTGATCTTTCAAATCTCCCCCGAGCCTATTTTACAATTAGCAGGCTGGGGTGTGGGGACACAGTAGGGTGGTGTTTTGATCCCTTAAGACGCATGAATTTGCCCTGTGCATGCCTGTCTTCACTGACCAGAGGGCACAGATGTCCTCTTCATCTGGGGATGGGACACAAAAAATGTCACATGTTTATCTAGACACTGCAAGGTCTGGGGCCTCTTCGTTTATCAAACATTCTAGAAGATGCTTTTGCACTTGACAGGTATGTCACTAGAACTGTGTGCTGGGAAGGAAACAATCACCACAGGCACTGAAGACCTCAGGAGAACTGCACACTGACCCTGAGGATGACTCCAACACACACGTGCAAACACCCAGCCAGGAAGACGCTCACTAACAGTCAAGTCAGGGAGCAGGTGTGGTGCCAGGGGGCCCTCAGCACATCGGGGCCACTGTCCAGGGTCCCTGCATCACCACCCCAAGGCTGCGCAGGCCCCTGGTTCCCTGTGTCACATACGAGAGACACACAGAGACGACATCTATCAAGGAGCAGTTTGCACGGCGCTTCAGCCACTGCAGCGCACACATCCCTCGAGGCGCGGCTGGCCGGACCTGAGACTCGCCTACCGGCACCCCCAGACAGCCCTGAGCACACGCGGGTGTGTGCGGCTCCTCCTGCAGCAGCAGCTAGAGAACGGCACAGGTTCACCACTCATCCATTTGCTCACCCTTAAAAGCACAACCTCCCAGCCAGACCCACTGGGGCACTAGGGCCACAATCTTAGGAGAGGACCTTTGTTCTTTTCTACACTGGGAGGACCCTAAAGGCAGCAGAAGCCACTTTAACTCCGGCCTGAACCAACACTGGCAACAAGGACCTGCAGCGGTGGAAACGGGGCGGACGGGCTTGCCGCCGAGCCTCCGGCACCTCCTGCTATGGCCAGGGCTCCTCAGCAAGGAAGGCCTCCGCTTCCCAGCGCCTCCCTCCCGGGCCCACCCTTCCCCCACACCCACGCCTGCATCATTCTGGCCACCGGACCCCTCATCTCACTGGGAAAGCATCATCCCCACGCTGACCAGCCTTGCAGTAATGAGAATATAATGAACCGAGCAACGGCCGGGTGGGGACACGGCCGCCCTCACCCCTTTCTTCTTCCTCAAACAAGACAAAGGCTCGGGCGCTGCCTGTCCTGGAGAGACCCCCATGGCTTCCTGGGCGCCCTGGCCAGCAGGTGGACCGGAGCTCAGCCATCCCGTGCCTGTCCACACAGCTCCCCACGGCGTGGCAGTGGGAGGAATGCAGGCAGTGCACTTTGACCCAGCCCCTCTCTCTCTCGCCTTTACCAGCCTGATGGAGAAGGGAGGGGGGAGGGGGCATGGCTGCAAAAGCGACGACGATGATGACGACGTCACGGCCTGGAGGCCCCGAGACAAGGGGCCTTGGCGCCCACTGGCCCTCAAGCGAACACGACCCCAGCACACGTGGGACCAGGCACCCTGGGGGCAGAGGTGGGCGCCTCCACGGTGTGGGTTGAGGGCGGTACGCGGCCTACCCCTCCCTCCTGCAAGGCACAGGCTACGTGCCTGGCCTCAGTGTGACCCATGCCGGTTACCGAGCGTGGACATGTCCACCGAGCCCTCTGGGAACACTAAGTGTGCTGTGTCGGGGCCACCTGGAGACTTCAGGGGAAGGACACACCAGAAGCTCTAGAGCCTGGCAGAGCCCCAAGTCCCCCAGACATGGGCAAAGAGGACGCCATAGGAGCCAGGGGCAGCCCAGACCCCACGTGTAGCGGCTCTGGGAGGACGTGGCTTCGCTGAGTCCTTGCCATCTGCTGTGCTCCCCGCCCCCACCACACCTGCGTCTACACGACAGATGTGCAGCAGATGGGACAGGCCCTACCTCCCGGTCTTCACACTGTGGGACCCCGCCGTCAGGTCTCAGCAAAGTCAAATTCTCTACTCACAAACACAACGGTATCCCGAAAACCAAAACCTGCTGCTTTCCCACTCGGGAAGCACTGGTCCGGAAGGCCTGAACTGAGACCACGCAGCCTGGTGGGGCCTGGCCACGGCGGGCAGGAGAGCACCGCCCCGTCAGGCGGAAGGCGTGTGGCCCCAAGCCCCAGAGGCTGTGCACCATAGTGGAACAAAATCCGAAGAGCAGGTAGGGACGACCGTCCAGCTCAGACTGTTCTGGAAACACAAGGCTGGTTGGTGCTTCTCACTCTGGAGAGCGTATCACGAAAAATAAAACTTCCGTGATTCTTTGTTTCAAAGCGTTCAAGTTAGCAGGTTAACAAACACAACTGCAGAGAATTCCAAGTGACAGTCTGGGGGACTTCCACGTGTCCACTTCTCATTCTGAATGGAACCATTTCGCATTTTAAACAGCATACGCTGCTCGGCTGCAAACTCCCCGTTCACTGGAATTCCACGTGCGCGGGCCGTGCAGGGGCCCTCGGCCGGCCCCTCCACCTCACAGGTGTCGTGCCCGGTGCCACCGTGCGTGCGCTGTGGACCCCTCTCTTCGTCTACCTGCGTGTTTGGCTTTCGTGCTTTGTGGACAGGCATCCACGCTGCAGTCTGGTCGGCTCCACAGAAACCCATGGGGGTTGTGCCCAGAGACTGGGGCTGTGGTGAGGGGAGGGACCACGCTGGTGAGGACGTGGGGACCGCAGCTCTGCCCCCCCGCCCCCCAGAGCAAAGCACTCCAGCCCGGTGTGAAACAGGCGGGCAAGGGAACAGATGGAACAGTGCTTGCCAGCAGCTACAGCCCCAGTGAGCGCCGGAGGGAGCCCGTGCAGCCCCGCGCTACCTGTCCGAGGCCGGGCTGGGGAGGCGCTGGACGCCCCACCTTCCATGTTGACTCTCTTCCCACCACCGGGCAGAAGGAGGTGCACAGCAACGTGGTGGAGGGAAATTGAGGAGGGCCCAGAGGAAGTGCAGCGGCGGCCTCAGCGCGTCTCAGTCTCGTGGGGACCTTCAGGGCAGACCCCTGGCAGTGGCTGTGGCCAGAGCAAGTGCCCCAGCCCGTCTCAGGCCACCCTGCAGCTCCACGGAAGAGAACAAGCTTCATGAGGCCACACAGTTTCGACACTTCACGCCTAGATGTTTCTTTAAAATTGAGGCTAAGAAACTCACTATAACCACATGATGCCTGCCACTAATTATTTGCCATCTGTAAAACATCTAATTAATTTGGTAATCAATCCTCTGTTCAAAAACAATCGAAACTGAACTGGCGGTCTTCAGGCCGCGATGGCGGCGTAAACGCTCTCACCATCGGGCTGTGCTTGTGTCCGGCCGCCCTTCCTCACTGCCGCCGTCACACTTTAGTTTTGTGAAGGAGACGCCCTCTCTTGGCGCACCCAGCGTCTCGGCTGCTGTGTGGGGCTCTGGGTTCCACTGAGGAAGAGGACAGTCCTCGCAAGGCTCGGCTGATGCTCAGCCCTCAGTCTCCCGCCTGCACGCTCCGGGCCTGAGCCCACCCCACGGGCACAGGAAGCCCCCGAGGCCTGCGCCCCACGTGAGGGTCTCCGGGCAGTGCTCAGCGGGTGGCAGCGGAATGAAGGAGTGGCTGAAGGGGCTGGCAGACGCAGGAAGGGCCCTGAGAAGCCCGCTCTCGTTCCCGGCCGGCTCCGCAGCCCCGCCTCACCAGAGGGCTTGCCCAGGCCGCTCAGCACACAGGCCGGAGGCCGCCAGCACCGCACAGCGGGGCAGAGCACGCAACGCAGGCTTCTGTGTGACGTGGGTCACAGACAGTTCAAGCTGTGGGCCACACAAACGCCCTGGCCGAGACGCACTCTGAGAAAACCCTGGTGTAAATCCACCATGCTTCCGTGCTCAACCTGAGATGCGCTGACCACAGCAGCTGCAAGCCTCTCCGAGGTCTCTGCAGGCCTCGCTTCAGCTGGCAATGGCTCCCGGGAGGATGGGCTGTGACCACAGAGATTCAGAAATTAGGGTACTCAGAGGAAAATGAAGGCATCGGCTTCCAGTGAAGAAGGGTGCCTTATGCACACTCTAAACAGTAGTTAGGATAATTAAAAAATTTTCAGAGCCTTCTAAAAGCAATGCTGGCCTAGCGGGAACCAGGGCTCCCTGGAGAACAGCTATCGCCAGGGCTGAGGCGGGAAGGGCACAGAGCCCGGGGCTTCCTGCAGGGCTGGCAAGCAGGGCGGGGCCTGGGGGACAGGGCTAGGCCAAAGGACAAAGGCCCCGCCCGGGGGGCTCCCTCTGGCCAAATCTGGGATTTAAGTGAAAAAAACAACCATGTTTGTAAGGGATTCTAACCCAGGGAATAAAATAGGAAATCATCAGTCCGCATTGCTGGAGACCTGGGATACACGCTTTAATAATCAGGCAGCGTCCCTTCCTCACTGCTGTGGTCACACCCTCATCTCAGCGCACCGGATTTCTGAGTTGCTTTGTGGGGGACTCTGGTGTTCACTGAGGAAAGTGGACAGGATCCTGGAGGGGTCCTGAGGTGCCTCTGACATGGGACACTCATTAGTTCCTAGGGAGCAGCCAGGCAGAGCCCGCCGCGAGGGGTGAGCAAGTCGCACCACTAGCCCTGTGCTGGGTGGAGTCCCGGAAGACTCAGCCCTGCCCTGCAAGGCCATGTCAGCAGCCCCACCAGATCCCTGGCCAGGGCACGCCCTACGAGCTAGATGGGGACTCCTCCAGGCCAAGGTGGTGATGTCACGGAGGGCCAGTGACCCTGGCCTGGCTGCCGCGACCCCCGAGACGCTCAGACGGGGTCCAAGCAGGGGACAGTGCCAGCGAGTCCACGTCAGCTCCCACCTGGACGGCCGTCTTGTGCTGGGACACCCCTGCTTATGGGAAACACACGCCTGGGCGCGGGGCTGCGGGTGTCAGGCGAAGGGGTCCCCATGGGCTCTGGCAGACGTTCTTGCCTCTCCTTGGTAACTTTCCTATGAAGTGTGGGGCTGTTTCAAAACGTACAATGTACATGAAAAAAAAATTGCAAAGTCTGTTTATACAGAAATCTAGCCTTTCCTAAAATAAATGTTTCAGGACAAACTTGAAGGGCATTTACAAAGAGAATGAGTGCTAGGAAGCAGAAAGAGGTAAGCCCGTCAATGTCACTGTTACCTGAATGCTCTCTCGGCCAGGTACGCCCAGTGCTGTGTCCACAGTCCACGGAACTGCACCCCGCAAAAGGACAGGTGAGTCCTACTCACAGCCTGCGTGGGCGGTCTTGGCCAGAGTCTGCAGATGTGAGCAGGTGAGGACGAGGGCATGCTGGGGTGGGTGAGCCTCGATCCATGGACTAGGGTCCTCATGGGAAGAGACTCGGAGGAGGAGGAGGCAGCCACGGAGTGCCCGGCCCAGAAGTTGCAGGAGACAAAGAGGATCCTCCCACAGCCTCGGCCAGTGAACAGCCCTGCCCATGTGGGCAAGGACTTCCGGCCTCGGGAAGCCGCAGGGCCTGGGTCTCTTTCAGGTCGTCCACCCGCCTCCAACTTAGGCCAGAGACAGCAGCTCATCAGCCCCAGGAACTGCAGGCCACAGGAGACACTCCGACCCCAGGACGGTGGCTCTGCACTGTCCCAGTTACAAATCCGAGCCCCCCAGGAGCCACTCCAGGGAGCACCCAGGGCACATCAGGGCCCCCGGGGCAGTGGAGCTCCCCTGGCCAGGCCGTGGTCTCAGGAACAGCTGTGGGGCTCCTGGGTGCTCCCGACTCTCTGGAGAGGTCCCCGCTCCTCTGCTTATCCAGATGCCCGCCCTCCTCTAACTCTGAACGCCTCTCGGCGGCTTCTGCGTTTCTGGGTCACCTCCACTCACTTCCCAGGAAGCATTCTCTCCTCGGTGACAGGGCCAGGTGCTGCCTCTGCTGGACTGGTGGTTTTCTAAGGCGCCGGACACCACGGAGGCCCCGCTCAGACAGGGCTCTGCTCTTCCTCTCAAGAAAGGCAGCCCTGGCACCTGCGTGCAGCTTTACTTGGAAGCAGAGTCTGCAGATGTGAGCAAGGCGGGACGAGGCCATGTGGTTCTCACAAGCAGTTTCACCACAGTGTGGCCGAGATGGCAGGGGCAGACCTATGTGATTTCTAGGTAAATGGTTACAAGCTTGCTTTGCTTTTTATACACTGAGATTCGTGCCACAGATCAAATACTGAGTTAAGAAAACTCCAAACTATGGTGCAGTACAATGAAAACTGTTTAAGGCCTGTACAAACAAACAAAAACTGAGTGGCAACAGGAGACCTACAGTAAAGACGTCTGGGAGCTTTAAAACCAGGGACACAGCGGTATGGGTGCAAGGCAGGAAAGACGGCTTTGGTCCCACAAAGGCCTTCCCAACATAGGGTCTGCGTGAGGGTCTCGTAGAGGGTCTGTCCAAGAACTCTGGGAAGGAATGCCACCTCCACTCACAAGACTCGGGAGGGTCACTGCAGATAGCAGCTTGCAAGGCAGGAAGGCCTTGCAGGGCAGAGATAACCGGAACGCCACAGGCCCTGCCCAGCTTCTCAGAACATGGAGCGACTCTGACAGTGCTGTCTGTCGGCAGTGCTCGGGAGATGAAGCCCCTAGATGCGCTGTGTGTGGTCAGGCCGGGCGGCGCCTATCTGCTGTGCTCCTGCGCAGATGCACCTTGTAACCACGGGCGGGAAGACGCAGTGTCCTAGCTTCGGGCTGCTTAGAAGAAGCATGCGTGCTGCTGAATACCGCATGCTCCCCCGGCTGTCTCACCTCACAACAGCTTTCAGTTTACCCTTCTCACCTCCCTCACCACAGCCTGCAAGATTAATGGGACGATGCACCTAATAAAGGCGTGTGGAGCCCAAGGCTCAGGGCCAGAGCCGTCCCGCCGCCGCACTGGTCTCCGGGACCCATGCTGTGAAACGTGACTCTCGTCTTTTGTCTATTTCTTCTCACTCCCTGGTCACCACCGGGACTAAGGGCACCATGTACCCTCCCCCACAACACCACACACCCCCAACACCCTGCCCCTGCCCCACAACACCAGGTATCCCGAACACCCCAACCCTGCCCCACAACACCAGGTATCCCGAACACCCTAACCCTGCCCCACAACACCAGGTATCCCCAATGCCCTGACCCTCCCCTACAACACCAGGTATCCTCAACGCCCTGACTCTCCCCCACAACACCGGGTATCCTCAACACCCTGGCCCTCCACCACAACACCAGGTATCCCCAACACCGACCTTCCCCCACAACACCACACATCCCCAACGCCCTGACCCTCCCCCACAACACCACACATCCCCAACGCCCTGCCTGAAACCTGGGCACTTCCATGGCCTTGGCCTCTGGACTCCATGCCTCACTGCAGAGGGACCAGTGCTCTGCTTGGACACCAGCTCCCTGGACCAAGGCAGAAGTTACCTCAGGAGGAGAACCAGGTGACCGCAGGCTCCCCACCAAGCACCTCCTCTCAGGAGATGTGGTCTCCCCGCCTGTCGAGGAGAGCTGGGCCGGTCCACAGTGGGGGCCGGCCTTGTACCAGCTGCTGCGACAGCCACAGCAGGACTGAAAATGCAACAGCATGAAAAGCAACATCCCGGCGTGGCGCTGCTGCCACCGCAGGCTGCTCACTCCTAACAGCAACCAAGAACGCCAGGCGCAGTGCATGGCACACGCCACCCAACAGGAGCGTGAGGTCACCATGCAGAGCGCTGGCACCATGGGGCTGAAAAGCCACATTTCCCCAGCTCTGACGATTTCAACCCATTTGCGCCAACAGGAAAAGACCGATTCTATGTTCTAGATACGTATACAAAATTCAGATGTTAACCCCTGGCTCCCTGGCCTGAAGGAGCTGCATGAAAAGACAGATTCTATTTTCTATACATGCATACAAAACTCAGACGCAACGCCTGGCTCCTTGGCTGAAGGGTCTGTGTACAGTCAGCATGTCTGCAGGATGCTAGAGCTCTAAACCCCCTTCCCTCCTCCTGTGCCTACCCTCTGCCCCCAGAGTTTCTCAGGGGACAGGCACCTAGGGAAGAGGGGGCACACGCACCTGTGATGGGCACATAGCCAACGCCCTGCTGGTACACCGTTGGCATCAGGACCACGGGCTGGGGTGGCATCACCATGGCAGCTGGCAGCAGCTGAAACACAGTGGAGATGGTTCCAGGGTTAGGGCAGAACACGCCACACACATCAGAACCTCGTGACTTCCAGAATCACCGTCGCCATGCCAGCCCTCAGGGCAGATGTGAGACCTGGGTGCACAGCCCCCGGGGACACCTGGCCCCCACTCCACCTCCTCCCATCCGGGAGGTGACGTCACATGGTGAGACTCACAGACCCCGCCCCCCGCTAACTGGGATGTGACTGAGAGCACGCGGAGTCAGGAAGGACATCCCAGTGCAGACGTCGGGTCGGCCTGGGGAAGCACACTGGGCTGCTGCCATCTCTGAGTTTAGTTCAAATGTGAACTGCAGATAAGTCACTGGAGCGCCATGATGTTTCGTGTTTGTATAAAAATGTCTATTAAAAAGACACATCATGAGACATTTATGAGGGGTCACTCTTGGTGGGAGGAGCCAAGACTGCCCAGAAAAGCTGCTCCCTGCTGTGCCCTCTGCCCACGTCTGCCTGATGTTTACCATAGCACCACGTCTCAACAACCACAATCTAAAAACCCCTGGGTGAGAATACAGAGGAGGCAGCAGAGCCCCGAGTCCAGGATCCTCTAACTGACCCTCCTGATGCCCCCAGGAGCTGCAGGTGCACTGAGGACGGAGACAGCTGGGAGCCAGGTGGCTGGCGTGCTGGCCCCACTGCCTGGCATGGCCAGGCCTCGATTTCCTGACCCCGAGGGCAGCAGGCCCTGGACTCCCCCCACCCGTCTCCACTGAGACACCCTGCCACGTCCTGGCCAGCACCTGGAAACCATTAGGGCCCAGGGCTGTGTCTCAGACCCTGGAGGGCTGCCCAGCTGGACCCTAAGGGCAGGGCTTGGGAAGGCCCCCACTGTGGTGGGCCTCCGAGGACACAGGTCTGCAGTGGAGACCACCAAACAACCTCAACGCTCTTTTTCCAGACGGAACACATGGGCAGGCCTGCTGGGCGGGGCAGCCCCTCTCGGCCACCAAACCGCCCCAGGGCCCCTGCCCTCTGTCCTCAAAACGCTGACCCTGCTGGTTTACAGGCTTGGCGCCTGCAGGAAGAACACCAGGACGTCCTCTGGGCGGCATGGCCCCCACGTGCCCCACGTACCCTGACGCGCCCCACCCCGCCCAGACGCCGGGCCCGCAGCTCACCGCGTACGACATGACAAGGTTGATCATGCCCTCCTTGTCGTCCCCCTGCCTCCCGCTCAGGCTGTACCACTTGTCTTCCACCTTGCCCTGCCGCAGGGACTCGGGGATGGTGATGTGGGTCCAGGCGATGCGGTCGTCCATGGAGAAGGCTCTCTTGGGGAGACAAGACGCACAGGCCCAGGGCATCAGGGAAGAGGCCACCTGCCCCGTGGCTGCACCATGGTGGGCCCGCCTCGGGTCTCCGACTCCCTGGTGGAACTGCGCCCCCACAATGAGGCCCTCCAGCAGCGCAGGCTCCACGATTATCAGTGGTGCAGGGGACTTCTTCCCTCTCCTGACCAGGATGGGCCAGGCCAGGTCTGGGGCTGGGCAGAGTGAGAGCCCTGGGCTGCTGTCCTCCTCCAGGTCCAGTTCAGGGACACTGGCTGCTCCTCCCCAGCCCTTGAGGCCCCCTCCTTGCTCCACCAGCTGCCACCTCCCAAGCCCCAGAGCAGGCGGGACGCAGGCTGGAGAGGACAAGGGGCCTGCCTCCCACAGCAGCCTCTGCACCTCCCATGCGCTCTCTACTCTTCTGAGGGCCGGAGCGCGAAACAGGGTCGGGGTGGGAAGAGAACAGCCCGGAGGCAAAGGCAGGGCCCAGGTGGCGGGGGTGGGGGACTGGCTGGCTACTGACCTGGCTGCCCCACGCTGCTCCCCACCCCCACGTGGGCTCCAGCCTCACAGGGCCACAGGTGCAAGGTGTCAGGATCACACTGAGCAACAGCCTTCCACATCCCCTCTGACCTTCTGAGTCTCCCTCAGAAACGCTGCAGGTGCAGCCACAGAAGGGACCCAGGACCCTCCAGGGCCACAGCCACTCCCACCACCAAGAACAGCTTTCCCACCTGGCGGGACTCACTGGAATGCCACTGCTGTGAGCGGCCAGCCCCGGTGCACCCCACGGAGGGCACACGTGCATGTTGTCCCTAGAAGGTCAGCGCCTGTCACTAGGGATATTTCCAAACCAAAGGGCATCCGAGGAGCTGGAAACAGTCTCTCTTCCATATTCCTTAGGGAGGGTGGGACCCTGTCACACACCCAATAAAACACCAGGTGTGGGGCCACAGCTCGAAGCTGGCCAGGAACGCGGCCGTGTTGGCAGGCGTGTGCCCAGGGCAGCCACACTCAGCCACGTGCGGCCTCCGTGACTGGCGCGCCCCTCTCACCTCATCGAAGATCTCCAGATAGAAGGAGTCCACGCCCGGGGGCACCGTGCAGTGGATGACCTTGTTCCAGCGGGGGCTCTTGGCGCCGTTGTGCGCCGTGGGCGTCTCGTATACCGCATAGCCCAGGCGCAGGCGGCAGTAGGGGTCCATGCGGGTCATACCGTAATTCTTGGCCAGCTTTGCCTGAAACGAAGCCAGTGTCAGGAAAAGGAGGTGCCGACCCTCTCTAGGCCATCTGCCTCCCTGAACCCTTCCATGTGTTCTCTTCCCAGCAGACAGACTGCAGCCACCCAGAGTCACCTGAGCACAGCTGAGACCTGCTTCCCCGGAGGCCAGGAGCAACAAGACTGAGCCACAGATGGAATCGTGCACTTCTGAGATAAAGCTCGCGGCCTGTCCTGGACAGAGATACCTACGACGCTCACAGACACAGTGGAGGCCGCCATCAGCCACCATGAAGGGCAGGCTGTCTAACACCCTCCTCAGAAGTGGCTGAGCAGGGAAAGAGGAGGGTGTCCCAGGACACAGCTGAGAGCCACAGAGCACAAAGGGAAGCATGAACCACCCCTGGGAGCATGAGGACCGGGGAGGGGGAGCTGGTGATGTCTGAGCCACGGAATTCAGACCACGTGTGGCAGCAGGTTCTTCCCTTCACGAAGGCAGCCACCCTGCCTGTGCTTTCGGAGTCTGTGGGGTTTTCAGGACATGTCTCCCATCACAAGGAGCCACGTCGCACGTAGACCACAGGACCCAAGTTCAGGCTGGTGCTGGGCTAGGCTGGGACACCTGAGGTCCACAGGGTGGGAGTGAACGTGTGTCACAAGTGAATGTGTTATAGGGAATGGATATTGATAATAAGACAGAAGACTGTGGCGGGTAAGGTGACTGCTCAGCAGACAGCAACTCAAGAGTCTATAACAGGTTCAAATACGAAACCTAGAACTGTAAAACTTTCTCAAGATAAACCAGGAAAAAAGCCCTGGTGAGCTGGGTCAGGTACAGCCTGCAGCCCTGGCTCCCTGGAACGCAGACGGCCTTCCCGCACTGCTGCCACCTGTTCTCCTGCGGCCCACCCAGCTCACCCCAGGAGCCGGCGACAGAGACCGCGGGAGCCATCCCAACCCTCCCTCCCGCACGCTTCAGGGGCAGCCACATGGAGCCCACTGGTTCTTCCTCCCCAGTGCAGAGTCCAGACACTGCACCCTGAGCCCTCTGAGGGTACGGCCCCTGTCCTCACCAACTCCTCCTGAGGGCACGGCCGCCCCGTCCTCATGGACCCCCTCTGAGGGCACGGCCGCCCCGTCCTGGCTGAACCCCCATGAGGGCACTGGCTGCCCTGTCCTGGCTGAACCCCGAGGGCACGGCTGCCCTGTCCTGGCTGAACCCCGAGGGCACAGCCGCCCCATCCTGGCTGAACCCACTCTGAGGGCACGGCCGCCCCATCCTGGCTGAACCCCCTCTGAGGGCACGGCCGCCCCATCCGTCCTCCCGCCCCCCACGGCACAGCTGAGCCCTCCCATCCTGTGCCCTCATCTCTGGACTGCCGGGTCCTGCTTTCTGTCCCTGTCCACATACAAGTTCCTTGCTTTCACTTCTAACCAAAGCTGCGGCCAGTGCTTTTATGTCAAAACTGTCCCATTCTTGGGTCCTTAATTTTAGGGTGTTTCTTGGGTGGCCAGAGCGTACTCCAGAATCCTATGGAGTGACAGGTTTTCGGAAGCTCCCAGGTGACATCGTGCCTCAGCCTTTAGAACTTCCAGTTCCACACCCATAAATCCACTCTGTCAGCTCTTACACTAAAACTCTGCCCCCCTCAACTCCTTAGAAACTGCCCTGTTTGCTGGAAAGTATGTAGCAGGAAAGTTTGAGACCACAGTGCCTTTCCAAAGCTTCCAGGTAACCATGCTGTTTCTGCCTAGCTGCTAACATTTTTGTTTTTATCGATAACTGTAAAGGCTTTGAGCAAAGCCAGCTTTCTGGGTGGCACGTGGGACTCCCCCGCCAGTGTCCCCGTGCCCGTCACTGACACCTGCTCACACTGGGTCCTGCCATTCCTGTGTCTTCCTGTTGCCCTCTGTGCTGTGGATGGAAAAGTGCAGGGAGGCATTCTGTGCACCGACTGCTCTGCTGAAGTGGCCTCACCAATGTTACAGGGGCATCCTCCCATTCACTGTGACCACACGCTGTTCTGGTGTGGCAGACACTGTGGGGACACACAGGCACCGTTGCTTCCCCCACAACAGGCAAGAGACGCACACCAGGCACACAGCGCAGCAGACGGTGCTGCCACTGCAGGGGTGACCGTCCACACGCTGCCACACGTGACGGAGTACGAGTGTGGGCCCAGGAGCTGAAGGAGGAGCTGGAGGAGGAGCTGCAGGCAGGGGGAGAATGGCCCAGGGAGTGGCAAAGTCAGCAGTGACCAGGGGCGAGGCTAAAAACAGGCCCCAGCTTGAGACGGCTCAGCAGGACAGTGACCGCAGGAAGGGCCAGTGCAGGAAGTGACCTGCTCTGGCCACACTCCAGTGGCTGAGCAGAGGCAGTGGGTGGGTGTGGGGATCGCCGCCTGGACTGGCTGGAGGTGGTGCCTGTGCTGAAGGTCAGCAGAGATGAACCATGGGGCACCAGGGCTTTGGGCTCAGCTTCCAGAGTGTGGAGCCGCCACCTGCAGACGCTGGGTGGGGGAGGGTGGCTCGAGAGCTCACCTTGGGCACATGGAGTCCGGCATGCCCACTGGACACTGGGGAGGCCATGTGGCCGCGGTCTGTACCCAGGAATATGGAGCAGAGCTGAGCGGCCGGCTCAGGCAGGGGCCAGCACATGGGTATTTAGATCCACAAGGACGCAGCATCGCCCTGGGGTGTGTGGGCGGAGGGGAGGGTGGGCTGAGGACCACACCCCTTGGTGTCCCATTGCAGGCCCAGGAGACAACGGGGGAAGCAGCCAGGAGAGGCCAATGGAACCACACGTATGACTCCCAGAAGCCCAGAGAAGCAGGGAACAGCGGGCTGAGTGACGTGGCCCAGTAAGGAGGCAGGAATGTTCCCACCTCTGGAGCTGCCCACAGACAGCTGGGTGAGCTTTCATGGAGGGAGCTGTTCCCACCGCCAGAGCTGCCCACAATGGCTGGGTGAGCTCGTGTGGAGGGAGCAGACAGGCTTCCTGTGGTGGGCTCCAGGGTGCGACGGGGACCAAGGGGGACCAGGGGCGTGGGCAATGCCAGGGCCACCTCCAAGGCCCAGCCAGACCTGGGGCTTGAACTGTGTGAGGCGGAGAGCCCCGTGGTCACCAGGCCCAGCCAGGAGGTGGCAGCTGAATGCGGGTGATGGCCCTTGGTGGCCTGGTGGCAGCTGGGGCTTGTAGGAGTTCACTGGGTGGGCAGAGGGATGTGCCATACCAGCACGAAAACGCCTGCACTGGCAAGGGTGGAAGAGGCACTGTGAGGAGGGGCGTGAGGCTGCAGACCCGAACGCCAACAGCACAGCCAGGCCCGCCACGCCATTCCGTCCCTGAAAGCAAGTCTTACTTGTGAGGGCCACAGAGACGCTTCCGCCTGCTCTATTGTGGGTCTCTACAAAGTCTGTGTGGCCCGCAGTGCGTTTCCTTTTCCTGCGGTCTTACAGAATGTTTTGGTGTGATCAAGATCGGTGTTCAATCTGCCCATGGATTTTGGTTTTCACCTGAAAGTCCACTAAGTGACCACTGGCTGTGTCCGGCGGCAGGTGCCCAGCTCTGAGGCTGACGGAGAGCTTCTCCGTGGGGAGGCGAGGGTGCAGGCACCTGGTGGGGAAGCCGGATCCCACACAGAGCGCACGCCCACTACACCCCCTACTTGCCATTTTAGTTATGTTTGGCGGAACCGGGGCCATTGATACTATTTTTCATGTGTATCATTTTTCACATCACACACATTTCACAGGAAAACCTGGAATCAGAAGCTCCATTTGCCCACTTAGGAAATGCAGCATAAACACCGAAACCCTCAGTCCCACCCCTACCGCGCATGTGGCCCACCTGGACCACGGTGATGTTGAGCCGGCCCACGGTGCCCACGGCGCCTCCGTACTGCAGCTGCTGGGCCGCCTGTGCATCCAGCTGGACCTGCCGCTGTTGCTGAGTGGGCGTGATGCGGAGGAAGTCCTGTGGGAGCTCGCCGATGTACACCTGCAGGGTGGGGTCAGAGAGGCCACGGAGTCAGGGCGGGAGCGCCACGCAACCCGACCGCAGCTTTCCACAGCGTTCCTGAGAACCAGCTCTCCCCAGGGGCTCCATCTGTGCCCCCATCCCCACCCGCTTCCTAGCCCAGTCCTGGACTGTGCTCAGCCTCTGTTTCTTCATCTGCAAACCAAGGGGTCGAGGATGTTAGCTGGGGCCCGCCACTACCCTGGCCCTCGCCATGAGGCCCCAGAAGTACAGGTGCAGCCCCTCACTCAGGAGATCCCCACAGGAGGTCCCACGCAGAGGCTCCTAACAGTTTCTGCCGCTAAAAACGGGTTGCATCCTCAAAGCCTGAGCAGGTGGGTTTTCAGGTCATTTTAAAGGGTCTCACTTGTGCCACGTGTGCCCATGCCTTCTTTCTCCTTGTCCACACTAAAGGCAAGCCAGTGAACTGCAGGCCACTTGGTCAAACAAATGAATGAGACAAAGCTGAGCCTCAGGTCTAAGTTATTTGGAAACCCCTCTGCAGATACACTTCAAACGCTCCTACATGTAACGGCTGAAATTCAAAAGCACCCTAGAAGAAAACAGGAAGCAAGTCGATTCTGAACCACCATGAAAGCCCTCCCCACTCTGCATCCTGTGTCTCCTCAGCCCTCTGCTCACCGCTGCTGCCCCTGAGGGGAGAGAGGATGGGCCTGGGCAGGGCAGTGTCATCCCGAAACCACCCGCACGCCTGCAGCGGCCAAAGGCATCTGGGGGTAAGAAACACCCTCCACAGTGACGGTGGCTAATAAGGCTGAGGGCAGGCCTGGCTGCTGGTGGAGCAGAGACACCAGCTGAGGAGACCCAGCCACCTGCAGTCCCGGCCGGCACCAGCGCCCTGGGCAGCGGTTTTCAGGAAACGCCGAGTAGACACCTGGAAGCCCAGGCATGTGGGATGTGAGCTCAAGCAAAATGCGCGTGCTGAGGCCGCCAGGACGCCTCTGCCGTGCAGACCAGGCACCCGTCCCCGCCTGTGCCACGGACTCCCAAAGACCCAGTGCCAGGCAGGGCGCCAGGGGGTTCTGAATGAAGCCCTGCACCTGCTGTGCTTTGCTGCCTTGCATTTCAAAGGCCCCAAGAGGGTCCTCACCTGGTCCCCATCTCGGGCCTGGAGGGCACAAGCCAGTCAGCGCTCCACAGCCAACGGCAGCAAAAAGGGGCCCGGCCACGCCGGGCACTGCGTGGAGGGTTAGGGACTCAGGCCTCTCCGAAGGCTGCACCCCAACCTGAGCAGCTGGCTTGGTATGCGTTCGACTGCTCTTTTCTAAAGAGCAAAACACTTCGTGTCTTTCCACACACTTTACCCTGTTTTTGACAGGGGCACATCACAAAGGGCATTTGCCCCGTGAGAGGAGCCGTCCTGTGTGAGGATAGCAGAGCACCCGGCTTCACCTCTGGAGGGTGTGGCACTGGCCAGGGTCTGCAGGTGGGATCCCCTGTCCTTATGGACAGACAAAGAGGGTGCAGAGGTCCCTGAGGGAAGGAGGCCCCGGCCAGGCCAGTAGCTGCCAGGAGTCCCATGCCGGCCTCCCCCGGGCAGCATGTCCTGAGGCGCCGTCCAGGTTACCAGCAAGTCCTGAGGAGGAGGCTGAGAGGTCCCGTGGTACGAGATGGGAAGCACATGTTCCTGTAGATGTACAGGGAGCGCCGGGGTGAAGCCCCTGTTCCTGTAGGTGTACAGGAAGCACTGGAGTGAAGTCCCTCTTCCTGTAGACACACAGGAAACACTGGGCTACAGAAGGCCAGGACCCCTTGCCTGTCTCCCAGAGGGATTCACAGCCCAGAGCTCTCTCCCTGTGGGACATGTGGCCACGCAGGACATGCTTCCCTGCCAACCTCACAGGGCCCTGGCACAGCCCATGCCCATGGGCTCTATCTCTAGCTCCATCTGCTCACCAGAAACAGGTTCTCTTGCAGAAATACACTCGTGCCAACCAAGTCTGTGTGATTAACATTCACAGGCTAAATTCCTTTTTATCTGCAACAACTGCCTCCTGCGTGCTACGCGTACAGCTCTGGGGACACGGCAGGAATAGCATCATGCCTCTTGGGCACACATGGGGGACAGACAGGCAGCTCGTGGCCTTCTAGGCACATGTGGAGTTGGACAGGCAGCTCATGTTCTCCTGGGCACACATGGGGACGGTCGAGAAGCTCGTGTCCTCCTGGACACACGCGGGGATGAACAGGCAGCTTATGTCCTCCTGGGCACAGGTGTGGGGACCGACAGGCAGCTTGTGTCCTCCTGGGCACAGGTGTGGGGACCGACAGGCAGCTTGTGTCCACCTGGGCACATGTGGGGACTGACAGGCAGCTTGTGTCCACCTGGGCACACGTGGGGACTGACAAGCAGCTTGTGTCCTCCGGGGCACATATGGGAGACGGACAGAAAGCTCCTGGGCACACGTGAGGGACAGTCAGGCAGCACGTGTCCGGGAGACAGCAGCATGGAGAAGCCAGTCAGGGAGAGGGTGTGGGTGGTCACAGGGCTGTGTGGACGCAGGGTCCCGGAGAGGCCTCTGAGGCAGCGCTGTGGGTCCCTCACTGTTCTGGCTCCCGCCTGTCCCGTCATTTATGGGCATCCGACGCCCCGTCTCCTTGCTCTGCACAATTTAGGTGTCCATTAAGGACAATGGGACCACTCTTTACTGGGAGGAAATAAAATTACATCCAAAGGCCTCAGGACTGAATACCACTTTCCAACAAGGATTTAACCACAAAATGACAAATATGAAATGAGAGTTTTTAAATATAAACCATGTGGACAGAACACGGAGAGGGGAGCAGCAGCTCCCTGTAGAAGCAGCTCGTCTGCCCCACGCAGCCCGGGGACCGCGGCCGGCACCACGCAGCGGGCAGGTGCCCATCTGGCTCCCCGAGATGACACACACCTCACCTCTGGGTTTTCTTCCCGAAAACCCGTGCCACAATTAAGAGACATTGGACAAATTCCTGACCAGTCGGTCCTCTTCAGACCATCAAGGTCCCCAAAACACAAGGGAAGCCTGAGAGATAGAGACACGATGGTTAAACGCAAGGTGGGGTCTTGGGACAGCAGGGGACAGTCAATGAAAAACCAGGACATCCAAACAGAACCTAATCCTGAGCAGCCAGTCCTCTTTAGACTGTCAAGTTCCCCAAAACACAAGGGAAGCCTGAGAGACAGAGACACGATGGTTAAACGCAAGGTGGGATGCGGAGGCAGCAGGGGACAGTCGCTGAAAAACCAGGACATCCAAATGGAACTTGGAGCGAACGGTCAAGTCGCAGTCAGCGACACAGCCATGAGAGCCATTCCCAGTGAGGGGAGCATCAGCCAGGGAACGTGGCTGAGACACACGGGACCTCTCGTGCCAACTTTTCAATTGCACATTCAACTGAGCACTACAAAACTAAAAGCTTATCAGAAAATATTTCACTTCACGTAAAGAGAGCAAGAGCAAGAGAGAAGAGAGCAGGCCTCAGTCATCCCCGAACCCTGGTTATGCAACCTGCCGCCCTGCGGGCCAGGGAGAGGCGCTGGCCTGAGGCTGCAATGCGGTTTCTCCACTTACAGCCACGCCCTTCCCACCAGGATGGCTCCCACCACTGCCAACAAGACCAGGTACCACTCCGGAGCCACAGGGAGGCCAGGTGCTGAAGCAAATCCTACCGCTTCAAGGACGAGACTCGGTCCTTCAATAAACATCTATTTTGAATGTTTTTCAAATTCAGTGCTAATCCTAAAACTTATTTTTGCCATATTACAATGGAGGAAATGTTTCAATGGTCACATAAAAACATATGCTTTACCGTGGCTCAAAGGCTTGGAATATGAAAACAAAAATGATTACTCCTGACACATAATGGATGTTTCCTACAATTTTGCTTCCATGTGCAAGCAAGCTGAACATACTGAGTTCAATCCTAACAAGTAAGTTTAACGCCTGTGTGAAGGCCAACAATTCCACTTCAGGAACCAGTCCCATGGAAATGCTCACTCAGCCACGTGAGCACGGGACGCCTCGGCTGCACCACGCGTGCCGCCAAAACGCCCCATCCAGCAGCCAGGCACAGCCACCCAGCGCAGAGCCACGCGGCCCCAACAGGAGCTGGCGGTCCACGCCGCAAACATGTAACACGAGGAAACGAGGAGACCCGGGGGACGGGGATGGAGGCGGAGGCGCAGCACGACCTGCCGCGGGAACCATAAGGAGGCCTGGGTCGACACCTACTCTGGGGGAGCATTCAGAAATGCGACTCCAGGGAAACGGGCAGGGAAGATTCTATTTTAGCTTATTTGTACTTTCATATCCTGCCGGTTATTTTTAGAAATGGTTTTAAAACCACATTTGTGAATTACTTTCAAAATAAAATGGACAGGGTAGGGCTCTCATTCCACAGAGCTCTCTGGGTTTTTTCTTCTCTGAAAATAAAAGCTACTTTTATAACTATTAGTCCACCTAAATCTAGTTTAAAATGTAATGCCACATTTCTTGGAAGGGCTGATTCTCCTCCCCCACACGGCGCTCTCAGTGGATCACGACACAGGCCTGTGTGACGGCCGTTCCTCCCTCCCTGACGCCAGGGCTCTCAACCACCACAGCACACCTCTCCATCATCAAAGGAAAAAGGCTCCAAAATTCACTTCTATTTAAAACAATTGCTCTTCAAGTCTAAATTTTAGTTTTGGCACAGAAATAAAGTCTTAATTCTTCTTTTTTATCATGTAATGTGTGTAGTCAATCCAAAGCTAATTTTTCTTCTTAAGCACACAAATTAAATAAGCACCCACTGTGAATATTCCTGGTAGTAATATGTTTCCAATCTAAAGAGCCAGTGGCCATACCTGCTGCCTGACAGAGCCCAGGTAGAGCCCAGCTCAGCCCAGGACATCGAGCCCTGATCACACGCAGTCCTGGCCCGTCGTACGAGGAGGCACCATCCTGAGGAGCTGCAGCCACGGACGTCCCAGAGCATGG